TTCACACCATTTCTATTTACGTAACTAGATATTAACACCTACTTGACATTCCTTTGCTAGAATCTCCTCATTATTTGCGTCCCTTATTCAGTAGTCAAAATAGTGCATCGCCTATTAACTGTTAGGATTTCAGTTAAAAATTATATATATTATTTATGTTCACTTTTCAATTTAAAAAGTTATTGTGTAATGATAAAGTGAAGTCAAACATTCACAGGCTATGTCCTCGACATACTTTTCCAAGTGAATAGCGTTCAAGCGTTCCCACTTAACTTCGACAGCATGTCGCGAGCATATAAATGAGAGGCATTCTTATTTTATTTTATTCCTTAATTGTATGACAATTACTAATGAAGCAACATCGATTTTCGACGTGTATGACGGATAGTATCAGACTAGAGTCCTTTTATGATTAAAAATTTATAGATGTTCAATTTATAGTCCAAAAATATATATTTTTTAATCTCTCGTATCTCCTGTATATAAGTTATTTTATTTGAAGCAGTAATCAAGTAAGAAAGCCAATAAAGTTGTATTACAGACTTTAAATTTATAAATTGAATGTAAATGTCCTACAAAATTACTGAAACCAGTATTTATAGTTCTCAAATACAAGACAATACTTAAATTTTGCCATTATAAAATTATACTGGTTCAAAATTATTATGAATTATAATCAGTCATAAAAATAATTCTAAGTATTATAGTATATTTATTATAATTAGTAGTTTGGCGATACTTGTAACAAGATATCAAAATAAAATATGTTATTAATGCTTTATGAAATCTTTCAGCACAAAAGTATGAAGCACAATAAGAAATTATTTATTAATTTCTTTGACAGATGTGATCAACACGAATCAGTTTTTCATTTAAAGCTATTTTGTTGTTATATTTCTTCTATTGAATAAAATGGACATTAATTTTTGATACATTAATAGAGAGATAAAGAATGCATTTGTTTTTTTTCCTTTCTGTTCATCAACTCTTTATAAAAACAAGAAAAGAGGGACAGCTATGTCAGGGTCTAAGTTGGTCACTGTATTAAGTAAGATAGAATACAGAAACTCTTAGAAGTCCATCTAATTGACGTGTCCTATTTCTTGATCTAGTTGACATATTAGTCTATGGAATTCAACTTTATAAAAACATAATTGAAGACAAGTAGTCTGTTTTTGTAAGTTGAAATATTAATGCATAGATATTTAGATTTTAGCTTTGTTAAAAATGAAATTTCTAATTAATTTTCAAATACATTTTTGATTCTACTTAAGAATCTTGAATTTTCGATATTAATATACTTTTATCCTGGTTAAATGTTGCTTTTTTTTAACTATAATTTGTCATATTCAAATTTTCATTCGTTGAGATCGTTATGTAACAAGTTAGTAGTTGATATTGCTAGTACTGAGAGAACCCGTTGAGATTCCTTACCAAATTATTGATAGGCAACGCTCTTAAAAGCTATCATACGGTCTAGTGATTTACTCCTTGGTATATTGATGAAAACGGTGAATGCATGGAGACTGGTTAAGCATACAAATAAAGTAGGTACTTTGTTAATGAAAATTTATTTATTTAGAAGAACTAATTTCGTCAAAATAAAAAATATTTCGTGAACTAGATTATTAAATAAAAAAAACTTTATCTCAGGTTCGCGGTCAAAATATGTTTACTTTTAAAATTCATTTTGTTTCACCCAAACAATGGCTTCAATAAAGTAATTCAACTCAGCTGCCCTCTTGGTTCCTCGTAATGAAATAAATTATGCTGATTTTTTTATTTGAAGAATATATATGTTGTTTTTTACTGTTCGAGGTTTCAACTTCATTCTGAGTTCCTACCTAATTATATAAATATTAAATGAAGACTATATATGAACTCTTATATTTGGCTAAATTTTCACTTACAATGTCTAATTTAAACGGATACAAAGTGTTATATAAATATTTTTCCGACCTGCGTAATATTATATGTATAGGTATAAACAAAAATGTGCACATAACAAAAGTATCTTTTTAATAGGAACAGAAAGGTTAAAAAAATTTTGAAACATATAAGTATGGTATTCATACACAAATACGTTTTATTCTCAATACATACCTATTTATATATATTTCTATAAAGTGTTTATCTATTTATTTTAGATTTATATAATGATAAAGTTTAGCTAAAGTAAGGCTTCCTTTAAAACAGCTTGGTCGTATAGAATGTATGATTAGAACCTCCACCTGGGGGCAATTCGTTACGTCAACCCTGGGAAATATAATATGCAATATGATCTTATTCAAAAGAGGGTAGTAAAGGAGAATATTCGCCTACTAACAGAGACATACACGAGCACAATTTTTTCATTACGTTTTCTTATATTTCCAGAATTTTTTTAAAAAGAATAATTAGATCCTTACTAAGAAATAATGTTATATAAAACAATTATGAATAGAAACATAAATATTTAAATATGTAAAATTTGAAAGAACATCTCTAATTTTAAGTAATCATTTTTAAATTTTACGTCAATACCCTTAACAAGAAATGTTTAGGTTTTATTTGAATGTTATAGGAATATTTTTATATATAATTATAAAAACAAATTCCTTTCAAATATTTTTTGTACGTATTTGACGTGAAAAAATAAGTTGCACACAATTTCGCAATGACACTAACTTTGACTTGGTGAAATTAAGAAAACTGCTTGCAATATCAGGTGAAAACATGGATATGAAATATATGCAAAAATATACAGGACATAAACAATTTGTCTCCTTCTTATGTATAGCAATGGACATACATATTTATAAAATGAAGTAATGAAATCCCATATGCGCTGGAAAGATCCTTGATATTTTAGTTTCGTAGAATAATACAGTGAATGTGTAATTAGTCCAAGGGTTTGCAAAACTATTTAGAATATTACTTTCAAAATTATATTATATGACAAAAGCGTTTACTGAATTTCGTTTCCATGAAATGAAATAATTATGGATGTCAATTCAAATAATATTTTATACGGAATCTAAGCCGCGCTTTTGTGTTGGAATAAATTTTGGTTATTCATTGATATCATTCTATGGAAATCGCGTTTATTAAGCTTTAGTTTGTATTTATAACAGTCAGCTGATTCAAACAACATTTATATTGCAATGGATATAAAGTTAATGCAATATTCGTTTTTTTTTATATTTTTACCGGGGAGGAATAGTCGTATTTCAGATTACATGATTTTGGCACTGTTCCGTATTTCCCAATGGATTTGGCAAATGATATGTTTAAAGGCAAAACATGATCGTGAATTCATAAATAAGCATGTATTATACCTAGAACATAATATTGAATTATCACATTTTGATTACAATGATAATTACTCTACAAAAGTTTTATTCAGAAAATTGAATATACATATACGTATATATCGGACTTGGATCTACGTCATTGTGTAGAAAAAGTGGGACACCGTTGAAGGTAACCTGTTAGACGGTTTGATAAATCTTTTTTTCTGAACAGGTCCGACCCCTACAAAGGCTCGATTGAGAATGTTTTTAATATGTACCCTCGCATCTAAATAGATATAAATATACTAACCAACACCCATCGGTATGAATGCACTTGCACAAGTGGCTTCGTAGGTTGTAATGCTGGTGACACCTAACCATTTTAACCATCGATAACTATTAATTACGTAAATAAATTTATTCGTTCATATACGGCCATTCAGACTGTTTTCCTAAGACTTTTCCGTTGTTTCAATATTGCACTTGTTGACGACATGGTTTAACATGTGCCTTATTCAGTGAAATTTCCGAGTGCACCATTATATACCTATATACAAAATATGTTACATGTTAAAATTGATTGGACATATTTCGGTATACGAATACCCTAAAATAACACGATAACATATGTTAGTTAGTATGTGTATGTTTTTACAGTATAGGCAAAAAATATCATTACTAAGAAATGACTTGAAATGAAACTCCTGTTCTTAAATTACCACAGTACTGAGAAATGATATAACTTGATTTCATCCCATTTTACTTATCTCAATAATAAATAGAAACTCGTACCGGGTCATAACTATCTTGCTATATAACCTTTTAATTTCCACATTAAAATCGATAATTATTATTAAGAAAATAATTAAGATAATAAAAAATATATGTATAAATTTTAATAAAATATATTTTAATATTCATTCAAAAATATGACACCTATAATTATATTATTGGGTCGTATATTTATAAAAGTGGTAATAACTGAACATTTTTGATTTAAATTTAATAAACAAATGACAATGTCATGTCAATGTAAAAACCTTTAATGGAAATGAACGCTCAAAATATAAAAAGGCATATTTAATTAATATTGGAAGTCAGTTCGTTGGATATATGTACATTTTGTTTTGACATAACAGCTATCAAAATAATATTAAAGCACCGACATCTGTTATTCAATTTGTTTATTAACATTTCATATAAATAAAATATCATATATTTATAAATGTTCATAAAGAAATTTAATAACAGAGATGAAGTTATGATAATAATTATAGTCGTGGTGGCCTATAGTGCGGGTTCGAAACCTCGCAAGTACCAATTTGATGTACTTTTTTAGAGTATTTAGACACCACTGATATACTGTGATGGAAATAATCGTAATGAAACCTGGACGTATAATTATGAATTTGATATCATCAATCCGCCTTTAGCAAGCGTGGTGATTTATGCTCAAACCTTCTTCATGTGAGAAGAGGCCTTAGCTCAGCAGTGGGTTTCGATAGACTGATGATAATATTATACCCAACTTTCATTTATTTTCCCAACAACTATATAATAGATTAAAATATTTTATGTTTAAATTCAACTCACTGTTGAATTTTACTTTTTTTTATTACTTCCCTAAAATTAAGGACTTCATTAATCAGTTAATTTAAAATAAATACTACAACAGCTACTAGGACTATAAAAGTAATATATTACAATTGATTACAGATAATATGCAGCATGGACTATAACGACACTTCGAATATCACGGAGACCTACAAGCCGTACTATGAACGCCCTGAGACATACATCGTGCCGCTACTATTTGCGCTTATATTTATAATAGGCGTTGTGGGAAATGGGACCCTTGTTACTGTCTTTGTACGACATAAAGCGATGCGTAATGTGCCTAATACGTAAGTTCACTTTTATTTAATAAATGAACAATAAATTTCTATTTATTGATTCTTCAATAGTTCGGCTTATAATTTCCCTGAAAACGTTGAAATTAATGAGAAGATAATTATTGAAAATCCTATTATAATATTGTCGGATTTCAACGTTGAATTAGTTAGAATTGGATGATTAAAATAATTTATCTCATACGTAAAATAATTGATTGTATTATTTTTTAGACATTATTTGTTAGCTTCCGTCCTCATTACATAAAAGATTCTGGGTTTTCTCAGTAATTCCTTAAGTTAAAATATACCTATTTAAAAGGATATCCTGTAAATATTTATCATGAGTTATTTCTGTTTAAACGCTGCTATATTTGATTCTATTAAATGATCATTTGCTTCCAATTTGTCTATATCTTCCAGAAAATTAAATCGAATTGAAATCTGAGGCAATAATTCAGACAAAACCGTAAACTACGTTATATACTGCGTGTTAGATTACAATGAACAACTCTCGTTGGAATTGTTCCAGTATCAGAATAATCTATTTGAATGGCATAAAGCGTGAAACCCATCTTGTTGAATAAACAAAGAAGCTTTTAAAAATTATATTTTACATGTTCCTCATATTTTATATAATTAATCGATAGCATTTTACGAACTATTTTCTCCACATAGCATCTGCATTTCTTAGCGATGACTTGAACAAAAAAATTTGAAATATCTCCATCAAGTGGGTGATGTTTACATTTTTAATAAAAATTGTTAATATAAATATTTATTTTTAAATTAGAAAAAATGTTTTAAAGTTTTTGTCGACTATAAATAGAAGGTTATCAATTCGACCCGCATGTGCAATGTGTAATATTTGTAATATTTCTAGAACTAACCAAATTAATATACATTATTTTATATCAGGGTCTGAACTTGTGTGACAAATTTTTAACATGTATATGTATATATGTATGCATATATATTTGTATGTATGTATGTTTGTGTGCACATATTTAAATGTTCTAGAGTTATAAATCGAAAAAAATATATTTTCATAAAAGAATGTAAAACACGATTTGCAATGAAAATTCTCTATTATATATACATGTCAATATTGCATGTATTAAATTAGAGATATAAAATATAACACTTGTAACTTGTATATTCTGAAAAGAGGTTTTAGCTAGTTCTATCGTCTTTCAAATATATTAGGACAAAATACAAATATTTATTTCTTAAGTTATTTGCTTACAGTATGAACAGAAATTGTGAGCCGCAGACAAAGCAAATAAATATTTAATTTAATCAACATAGATGACCCTCCATACAACTTCAAATACACGCTCATAATAAAATGAATCGAAAATATCAGATTTACTTTGTTTCTATTTATAAAATGGCTTTGCCTGTTTATTCACTGAAAACATGATATATCAAATTTAAATTGATTTTTTTACAATTTGTGGAAATTTAAGAAACAACTCAGAAGTAGATCCTGTCCCGTGCAGAAGGGCGCGGGTTCGATCCTGGCAAGTACCAATATGATATTTCCGAGTCATATGTATTTTCTAATAGTGTTTAGACACCACCGACAGTCGGTGAACGAAAACTTCGTGAGGAAACCTGGACTTATAATTTTACAATTATACATTTGAAATCACAAACCCGTCTTGAGCAAGCGTGGTGATTAATGTTCAAACCTTTTCCATGTGAGAAAGAGTCCTTTGCTCAGGAATGGGCTCTGGTGACGAATAAAAATATAAAAAATCAATTACAAGTAACGCCTTACAATGAAACATAGAATAATATCTAAATATAACGATTCACGTTTACCCACTCTTAGTACATATAGTCTAGATTGAAATTAATAAAAGAAAGAAAGACAAATAAAAAGTTTTTATTGTGACCGCCAAGCTCTACCTGCTTTTGCGATTAAATTACAAACTGTATAACAGTGTACGCAATATGTTACCTTGAGCAAAATATATTATTTTGTTAAAAGCTAAACTGTGACAAAAAATAAGAAGCTTGACAAGGGAATTCCAATACTACGATTAAATAAAGTTATTTAGCTATAACACCCTTATTTAAATAGAATAAATTAATATTTTATTTTATCTTGGTCACAATTAGGTTACCTCGTAGCTAAATGTAACGTAAATGCTAGTTGAACATGAACAAAATAATAAATAATGAAAATATATTTATCAATATGTGTGTTCAAATTTGTATGATCAATTTTATTTTCAGGTACATCCTTTCACTGGCTCTGGCGGATCTCTTGGTGATCATAACGTGCGTTCCATTCACGTCCATTGTATACACGGTAGAATCTTGGCCGTGGGGTGTCACGGTCTGTAGAGTGTCAGAGGCAGCTAAGGATGTCAGTATAGGAGTGTCAGTCTTCACCCTCACCGCACTCTCCGCTGATCGCTACTTCGCAATCGTAGATCCACTGAGAAAGCTTCATGCGACTGGTAAGTTTTACATATACTCTCGCTTATTACTTCTTAACCTTTATAGTCAAACAATCTGCACTCTAAATTGCATATACAATATAGACAGATAGATAGAGATGTATGAGTTATATACTGTTAATATTAAAAGTGTAAAATCAGATGACGTAAGCATAACCAAAATAAATGAGCACTTGTTTGAAGTTATGTGGCTTTATTAAGGTAAAATATCGTGAAAGTATTTTTGGCTTTGAGCCAAACATATGGGCTGACTAAATAATGCATCATGATTTTAGACTTTTTCAGTAATATAACTCTTGTTAAACTTTCATTATGTTGTGTAATTTTATGAATTTCAAGCGATGTTTACAGTCATTTATATTTAAAATATAATTTAATTTTATTAGATTTAAAATACAAATGTTATAAATAAGGTATAACCTTTAAATGAATACTCGTGATAATCTTAGATCTCACTAAGGTAAAACCTTTTTTCTCATATAAATTAGTTCATTTATTTATTTGTTATTAAATTTATTGACTTTCGTTCAATTCTTACCTCTTCTCAAAGATCTTAGTTTCTATGTGAAATATTATTACATCCGGAAGTCATTAAGGCTGTTAAAATAGTATCAAGAAAGTCGAAGCCGAATATTGAAATTATTTGAATATTTTTTATACAGAAAAATGATTTCTTCATAAAAATAACCTTTTACATTATAACGCCTGATTTACCGCATGTCCTTTTCTGTTAAATTAAATGTGTCAGCGACCCTAAGGTTTCAGAAACGTAACGAACCATGAATTGACATGAAAGAAAAAAAATTAATGTATTCCGAATTTTTTTTTGTGTTCACGAAATTTTATAAAAAAATTATGTTACTGAACCAACTCTAATTCCAATCTAATACAATCAATCACTTCTTTGAGTGAATTTCGTATGATAATTGTCAAACGTATTGTTTCATTACAAGGAATTTGATCATATTCATATTACCATTTTACGTGTTTCTGATTTATATATTATTGAAGAGTTTTTCATAGGTGCTTAATGCTGTATCATTATCCTTAAAGAGGCTACAAGTCAATTCCAATTGTCACCGTAATCCTTCAGCTGAAGTTTGAGATATCCCTTACTTATTCATAGTTTTATACGATTCACAGAAAGAGAGATTTTGAAATCAGATTTTACGGCAATTCAAAGAAAATGGTGATGCTCGTTTTGTCAGATGGACTGTGTGTTATTGGTTTTTCAATTTATGGTCTTAGAATCTTAAAATACTTGAATAATCTAAATTGAATCTTGGGTGAAGCTGTATTTTAGATGGAAGGTGCTATTAAACCGTCTATATATCTCGCACAACATAACGTCTTAAATACGTTTTAAAATATATTTTATTACAATTAATGTGTTGACATGGGTCGTATTTTCACTACTATGTATATAAAAGTCTTCACTTCCAATCTTTCCAGATAACTTAGTTTTTCAAAACAGTAACAACGCGCTTTTAATAAAAGAATAATCCAAATCAAAATAGCTTTTTTACAAAATGTACCCTCACGAAGTAACTTTTTCACTTATAATATTAGAATTTAAAAAATATATATCTTTAGCTACAAACAATTTAATATTTCAACATAAACATGATTACATTTATAATTTAAAATAATTTCTCCTTTTACATAAAAACACTAAATTTGAAATGAGGTAAAATTTCATTTACAAATGCCATTAGCAAATGTGATTGCTATTTCTTTATTGAGGGTCTGTTTAAAGAATATTGTAAACATGATGGTGGAAACCTTCCAAATAAGTCGACTTCGACAAACAACCGAAGCGGAAGACGTGTCTGAGTTTCAGCCTATTGCATTATTGAGTTTGCTTTGAGATTTATTGATTCTCAAAACCAAGGACAATTAAACTTTTAATACAATTAATAGCGACTTATTCATTCAATCAAAATGTAATGATTAAATTATGTTACAATATTTTTTAAATAAATAAGTAATCCATTACTGGAATGGATTAATATGTATATTGAGTGTGTATACTATTGGCCAAACAACAGCTATCTACATTGAGCTGATTAAAAAGGCACACACATAAAGCTTTAATGATACCAAATGCGATAAACTTTCAAGAGCATAATGGTGCGTTAGGAGATATTGCGAAATCTTAAAATATACAGTTAATGTGTTACGGGTATTGAATTTTTTTGAATAAATAACTAACTATATATTACTCTTATAGTTATTCTTCTTCTACCTGGCAATTTCCCAGCTACAGCCAGGGTCTGCCTTACATGTTATGAATAGTTTTTTTTGGCTATTTGTTTTTACGACCGGCCGCCTGCCTGACATCAACCCTCTTTTGGGAATCAACATTAATCAGTGATGTCTAAATACTCTTAGAAAGTACATATGATTCCGAAAAATCACATTGGTACTTGCCCGGGTCAGGATCGAACCCGCGCCCTCGGCGACGAGAGGCCGAGAGGCGGGCCCTTTAACCACTGAGCCACCATTGACTTATTACTCTTATAGTTATTATAAGTCAAATATCTTTCTGTCATTTAGTGATAACACTGAATAGAATAATCATGGTACTTGGCAAACATAACAGACGTTAATTATTTTTTTTACTAAGAAATTAAAACAGTCAAAATTAAAATATGATTCACTCATTTTAAGACTTTTTCTTTTTCAGTATAACAGTATTAAGGGAATACTCGTGTCTGAATAACAAAAACAGCGCTAAATGAAAACATCCTTCATAAAATTAGGAGCGGGTCGAAATAAAATTGCTTGTTATAGAGTCTTTTTCGGGATTCGTTTTTAATTTGTGTCATCAATTATAAATAATTGTGTCTCCAAGAATTATTATTCCAATTGAATAAAAATTTTTTTGTACAGGGTTTCTAAATAATGAGATAGATAAAAGCTATCGTTATACGGAGTACTTGTATTTTTCAAAAACACTTCACCTATGGTATCTTTACGTTACCAATGTGTAAACTAGGAGCAAGTATAAACATATAAAATAATAAAGATGTTTCTACAGTACAGACCAGATGGCTCCGACCGACAACACTAACTGGATTAATACTATTTTATCAATAAAACAAAAATACGACTCTATAAACAGAGCACTGTCATAATCTGTGTTGCTTGGAAAGCGTTCAAAACGTCTATGTGCAAACTCTCATTGAATTTCTATTTATGTTATCAATACCAAGACAAATATTTCATAGACCAATGTCAATTTATGTAAGGTTATGTATGAAGTCATGAATTATTGAAAAATTCAGCGTCTTTCGCAACGATGCTAGAAAAATATATAATTGAAAAATATATTAAAATATAATGTGAGTCTTCTAAGCTAGCAAATAGATAAGTTAGAAAAGTATTACGAAATTAAAAGTATGTGTGAGTGTTTGGGCACAGAATGTATGGACGTATGGATTTATGAATTTATGGACATCTATCCAGCTATCCACCTGAACTCCAGATTAATTTATTTACTTATAATGAAAATGAACTGAATCAAACAATGGCACTGTCAATAAAAAAAATTGTTTTCACTATTTCATTGGTTTTTAAATTAAATATAAATTAGTGGTTTTAACTCTTAAAAGTGTCGAAATCGAATTGACGAACCAAAACGGCTTTTATTTATCATTTCGGGTAATAATTTTTTGAAATGGAGGAATTTTAAAGAACAAATTGAACCAAAAAGAATCAAATTTTATTTATTCATCAGACAACTAATACTGGCAGCTGCATATTTAAATGAAATACATATATGTAATTTGAGTATTCTGCTTAAAACCGCTCAAATGTTTGAAATATATGTAATTATAAGAATTTAAGTGGCAGTTCCGTCTTTTAAAAATGTAAAATAACATAACAGTTATTAGATATTTGTAAATAAAAAAGGTAGTTCTAATTAATTTATTCTTTACTTAAAATTAGTATTGAATAATAATAGAGTATTGGGTATCAAATAATTGACTGTACTAATAAAAATTGTTAAGAAAATTCAATGAATGGTTTGTCAGTCAGATTCTGGTTTCATATAAATTATTAAACCCTTTTTACTTTAGAATATGCATCGTAAAAGGGAAACAGTAATATCGGGAATTGGGTTTTTGAAAAAAAAAAAGTATTGATTTTTTTTATGTATTTTAAAACTTTATTATTAATTATATTGGATTTTTAATGCAAAAAACTTGAAATATATTTTTTAAATTAATTATAAACAATTAAAAATTGATAAAATTCAAAAATATATCACGTGACTGTAAACGCGCCATGATTGGTCAGCATACTTGTGACGTCATAATGTTAAAGCAATTTCATAATAGTACAGTGTTTATGGCTATTATCTTTAACTTGATAAAAATATCTCAAATTTATTAGTGAAAAACGATTTGAAAAGTTTATTTCGACTATGTGTGATAAAGGATTTATAAAAGCAAAATCGGATAATATTCCTGATGTTAATATATTTTTATGATAACTAATTTTTTAAAAAGTGCGGTTTAATTTTGCTGAAGTTCGAGGTGCTAAGACATCAAGGTAAGTCTATCAAAAAATACTATTCTAAATGAAAATTAGTATTTATTCTCTATTAAATATAATTAATAATTATTTCATTAAATCATTATTAATAAAATGTTATTATAACATTATAAAAAAAAAAACCAAAATAACATATATGTACTTTAAAAATTTAAATGTAGTCTGATACAGAACCTAGAATGTTATAAAATTATGAAAATATCTATTAATTGAAGTCCAATTATTAGACAAACATATATATAGATTTACTATTTAATCGCTTTGAATTATCAATTAAAATTTTTTAATGCTACGATTCTAAAGGTTATGATTTGGAGCCCAGGTAAAAAAAATAATTATTGAACTATACTTATTCGATTTATACACTTAGATAAATAATAATTAATAACAATACTATTATGAAAACTTACAACGAAATGATCTTCACAACAAAAAAAAAA